GGTGAAGCGTATGCTCCGCTACCTTGCACCATCGACGCAACATCTTGGCTTGCCATGGCTCTAATGCCACTTGTTAGTCCCTGCTCGTTCACTGCTCAGGTAAGCAAAAAATGCTTCCGGTACAAACGAACACTTTTAGGATGAAAAAAGAAGATTGTGAACAACTCAATGTATTGAGTATTAAGCTTTTCTGTGTGTTTACAAATGAAAAACTGCATCCCTATTTATAAGAACTAAAAACAACTATTCTAGTGGCTTTCCTAAAAATTTCTTGAGCTGAAAAATCAGCCTTAAATGGCTGCTATGAAAGTGCCATGAAAGTGCAATGAAAGTGTAATGAAAGTGCAAGGAAGTTGCACTTTACTAACAAGGAAACTGCAGGATTATATCTTACATAAACGACGCATGTAAGGAGGAGTTGAGGGAAAAAGCAAATATGGCCATTGCCCGATGGATGTATCAGTCTGGAATTCCTTTTAACGCCATTAATTATCCTAGCTTCCAGAAGTTTGTGAATGCCGTTGGCAAATATGGTAAAGGGCTGGAACTACCTACTATTGAAGAATTGAGGGGGCCTTTACTTAAAAACGCGATTGATAAGATAAATCGCAAATACGTCAAGCCTCGTGAGGAAGAATGGGCGCGACATGGCTGTACATTGATGGTCGATAGTTGGACAGACAATCGGCAGAGGACATTTATTAACTTCTTAGTGAATTCTTCTGGAGGTTCGGTGTTTTTAGAGTCTGTTGATGCTTCAGATTCGGCAAAGGCTGAATTAAAGATGCTTCAGCTTCTCGATAAATTTGTGGAGCGTGTGGGTGAATCGGCTGTTGTTCAAGTTGTCACCGAGAACACAAATGTTATGATGCTTGCTGGTAAGAAACTATTTTGCTATCATTTCTAATTATTTAATTACATTGTTCCATCGTCAACTTGCCTAAATTTCAAAGGGGATGATTTGATATAAGAATTTTTTGTTTTGTTTGGATTTTTTGGTTTGATTTGGTTAATGTTGAAAATGTGATATGGTTAGTTGTTAGTGAATATATTAAACTAATATTGAAAATAAAACAATTCAAGTTAATTTGATGTAAAAGTATGAGTGAGGTGATGTGAAGTGATGGTTAGTTAAAATTATGTGAGATAATTAATAGTGAACTAAAGTTGACGTGATGTGTAACAATGATTGGTTTAATTATTTTGATAATATTGAGCATACTGAGATTGAGTTAAAAGTTGAGTTAAATTTAGGTTTTGATTTATCATTATTATTATTTTTTTTATTTATTTTTTTGTTAAGTTTATATCCAGTCACGCCCTAAATTTTAACACCTTGGTAGGAAAATATTTGCAAGTGAAAAGACCAGCTTTGTATTGGACTCCTTGTGCTGCCCGTTGCATAAATTCTATTTTAGAAGATATCGGCAAACTGCCCAGTTTCAAAGCGACAACAAAGAAAGCAACGAGCATAGCTGCCTACATTTATTCTCGGCCATGCGTGTTGAATATGCTTTTGCAGTTCACAGGAAGAAACGAGCTTCTTCTACGGGCAGGCATCACGAAATTTGGTATCATTGATAAGAGATGGGATTGCCAGCTTCGTAATCCTTTGCATGCCGCAGGCCATTATTTGAACCCGGTATTCTTTTCCACATACAAATACGGCATTGATGTTCCTAGTGATGTGGCAAATGGTTTCCTTGATTCAGTCGAGAAATTGGTTTTCGATCTTGAGGAGCAAGAGAAAATCATTTCCCAAGTCTGTGTGTACCAAAGGGCGGAAGGGCTGTTTGGGAAGGATTTAGCAATTAGGATGAGGAATAAATTACGCCCGGCAGATTGGTGGGGTTTGTTCGGTTCACATACACCAGAATTGCAAAAGTTTGCTATTAAAGTGCTTAGCCTTGTTTGTAGCGCCTCGGGTTTTGACCACAGTTGGAACGTATTTAAACGCGTAAGTATTGAACATAATATTTTTCGGAATTTTCGAGTGTGTTTCTTTGTAAATTATCTCAGTTCATACTCAATCAATTCTCAAAATTTAACTCAACTTTAACTTGGTTATACTATCATCGATATTGTCATATAATTAAATAATGTTAATCATTCATTTTTACACATCACATCAACTTTAATTCACTATTCACCCACTCAATTTTAATTATTTTATTTTAAATATTATTTTAATGTAAATTCAAAATTCGACAACTAACTAATCATACCACATTTTTCAAATTTAATTATTTTAATGGAAACTCAAAATTCGACAACTAACCACACTTTTCAAAATTAACTCTGGTTCACCAAAAAAAACTCATTTTGAGCGGATATATTTGTATAATTTTATTGTATTTATTTTGTCCTAACTGTTGTGGTTTCTTTCTTCCCTTCCCTTCCCTTCCATTTTTCTCTCCAGATTCATGGCAAAAAGAGGAATAGGCTCGATCAACAGTGTATGAATGATGTGTTGTATGTGAAGTGCAACCGTTTTCTGAAGCGTAAGTATGGTGGAGTTAGTCGAGTGAATCCCATCCTTTTGGATGGTACAGATGTTTACGAGTGGATGGTGAAAAATATATTGGAAGGAGAAAATGATTTAGAAGAGTTGGTGTTTGATGGCGAAGATTTGACTTGGGATGATGTAGTATTAGCTGTTGGGCCCGAGCAAGTTGTTGAAGAAGGCAAGGGAAAGGAAAAGGAAAAGGAGAATGAAATAGAAAACGGAAAAGGAAATGCAACCTCCTTAACGAGAGGCTCGATCCTAAGACTTCAAGAAGAAGAAGAAGACGATGAAGAGAATGAAAAAGTTGAAGAAAACGAAGAAGATGAAAAAGTTGAAGAAAATGAAGAAGGGTCTAGTGAGAATCTTGACAAAGAGGAGGATTGGCATGATGACGAAGAAAATGAACAAGTTGAAGTAAACGAAGAAGGGTCTAGTGAGAATCTTGCGAAGAGGAGTATTAGCTTATTTTCCTTTGTGTTTAACTAGCATTTTCCCGAACGTGCTCTGTGTTTTAGTCTCCTTAGACTTGATCTTGAATTTATATGGCCAAGTTTCGGTTGTTTTAATGAGACTTGCATCATGGTTACTATTTACTTAGTTTTCGACTCGTGTTCTGTTGTGTGCTCGTCTTTCGTGTTTAAGGAGTGATAACTCATTAAATAGGTCAATTCGTGACACATTTTTCACAAAAATATGGTTGTCTTACCATTAAGTCTGGTAAGAGTAAGAACAATAAATAATTTTAAACTAATTTTACTGCATATTGCTTTTAATTTTCATTGTTCATACGACACACACTCCACACAGCAAAGACATATAAAACTCTTTTAAGGCGTGAGCCATACACCACAAACATAATGCAATCCGTACAATCACACTTTAACAGTACCCAAGATTCCCATATGAGGAACAAAGCCAAAAAAAAAAAAGCAACACTTAAATAAACTAGTCAATAATGCAGCCCAAGAAAAGAGAACAAAAAAAAAACACACACACACACACAACTAAAATTAATTTTCACCAGTTTTATGAGGTAACATAACTAGCTTCCGAGACGGCGCCACGTGGCAGACGATGAAGCACGCTCGTCGGGGATGATGACGAGTTGTTGGCCGACAATCTCAAAGCCTCGGCAAGTGGCCCACCCATTGCGGACACCGGAATATTCTCCCAAGCCATTCCCCAACTCATCACTTGATGAGGTTTACTATCATTGTTATTAATATTATTCTCCCTTTGACCACCGTTGACTTGGGAGCTAGACGCGTCCCCGATTCCCGTTGTCCCGAGTGTCAGTGAGAAATCGGACGACGAGTTCTCGGGCATTGAGATCGAGAGATTCGTGGCCGAGTAAGTGGAAGCATTGTCCGACTCGTGAAGAGGCTTTGGCCAATCATCGAAAAAGTGTCTAAGAGTCCGACCGGTCGAGTGCCCGTCAGGTTGCGGGTCAAAAGGGCCCTTCGTCTCGATTATCGAGTCACAATACCTAAAGAACAATCAAATCATAAGTACACATTTGTAATTAAAAACAATGACGATAAACAATAATAGTAAAAACGAAATCTTGCATGAGTCAATCTAACTGTTAGACAGGTTTACCCTAAAGATCAACCCCAACTACTTGTTTGTGTACTTTTAGAGTATGACATTTTAATTTAAAAACGTACAGATCTGTTGAGAAAGTATAATTGTCCGATCGTTAGGGTTCGTTCGTTCGTTGTTCGACGTTTACAATGTTATGCAAATATTTCAAGTCTTAGAGGAATGAAATCTAGAAAAGATCATCAACATGAACAAAAGGACAATTTTGTAAGGAATAAAGTTTGGTGAAAACATAAATACATGGGGTTGCTTTAGATAAGGGGAATCAGAAACAAGTGGTTAGGGTTGATCTTTGCACTACACCCAAAGTTCAGAAATATCAAAACATTGTCCCACCAAGAAGGCAGTGGTGGGTCTATACACACACACACACACAGCTCCATCTTGACACTAACAATACAGAAAGAATGCATTCTTTGGGGACCCCCTAATTCAATCTAACAACTAATAATAATAATTAAAAAAAAAAAAAA